AGGCTGTTGTCAAGTCTTTCTTTCTCCTACTATGTGCGTTATTTGGTATTTTAATGTGTTTTATTTAGAAACAAAGATGTCTGACCATGGGGTACCGCCCCAGACCCTGCTGGAGGGAGTACATGTGCATCCGTATTGTCTTTCTAAAATCTGAAAATTTCTGAACCCCAAGATACATCAGAGTTTTGGATGAGGGATTATGGGCCTCTGGGTTATTTAAAAAATTTTTGAATTGAGTTGGAAGTAGAAATCCCTGGTGGTCTCATTTAATAAGACCCAGGAGATACGAATGTTTGGTTACTTCAGAAATGTCGACTGAGCTACTAAACACAAGTCCTTGTATTCTCTTTCCCATCTCACAGCAAAATGAAAAGGAGAGCTTGCTGAAAGAAAGAGATCACATTTTGTCAACTCTGGGTGAGACGAAGCAGAACCTAACAGGACTTTGCCAGCAAGTCTGTAAAGAAGCAGCTCTAAGTCAAGAACAAATACAGATACTCGCCAAGTACTCTGCTTCAGATTGCCCACTTTCATTTTTAATTTCCGAAAAAGAAAAAAGTACTCCTGATGGCGAACTTGCGTTACCATCGATTTTGAGTTTACCTGAGGGGCCCCCCACGGCACTCCCTGCCGGGGAGCCAAACCCTCGCCATCCCCATCCCGGCCCTTGCCCGAAGGGCGGGGGGTCTGCGGGCTGTGCCCCCGGCGAGTCCCGGCTTCCTGCTGCCCCCGAGCAGGCCGGGCCTTCGGAACCGTGCCGGCAGGGGGGCGGCATCTCAGACTTCTGCCAGCAGATGACTGATAAATGTACTACTGATGAGTAAACTCGCATTCACTTCCGGCACACCGTCTCGTTTTCCGCTGCAGTTTTGACGTCTTAAGAGCAAAATACAGCCTCTGACTCTTAACAGTATTGGTTATTGGCCCCCGCTGGCTTTGCTGTTAAGGGAATTCCTCTGAAGGCAACCCTGACTTTCCCCTGATTTCCACGAGATGCACAAATTACATGCCTCCCGGATCCTGAAAACTCACATGTGAAACTGTCGTAAGGCTTTAAAAACTCCGTTTTAAAGAACAATCACTATTGGTAGTAACTCTTCCCATATGCAAAGTGAATTGGACAGTGAAAACTGCAGCGTGTCAAAAGTTTAACAGCTTGAAGCGTCTGCAGAGAGGTCCTGCTAAGGGAGTGGCCTGCACAAGTTTCAGAACCTGACCTTTCGCACGACGGCGGTTTAAAAGAAAATGCCTCCCCGAGTAAGGCCGGTAGAGCTCCGCCGTGTGTTGAAGTGGGATGTCAGCCGTCTGAAGACTTGTGCAGAATTGCAGGGTGAGGAAGACAGTGTCTCGCCCGAATCCTGGAGCTTTGCTCTTCTCCCACCGACGCCAGGGCTGGCTTGGCCTGCACCTCGACTCCTCAGCTACGTAGGGAATGCGCAGGACACAGAGGCACGCGGTCGGCCGGGCAGAGGCTTCTGCTCCTCCCTCCTCGGGGTCGACCTCAGAAATGCTGGCGGCATCAACAGTAGACAAGTGTCATTCTCCCCCCTTCCTTTCTTTCTCTGCAGTCTCTACCACATCTGGATCCACCGTGATCTTTCTGGTTCCTGACATTCTTTTCCTTCTGGAAGAAGTACGACTTGGGACACAGGCATGAGGGGCCACGCCGGCAGCCCTGTCATGGCCTCCCTGGACTCCCAGAGGGCTGCCCCAGACACCAGGCGCTCTGCCTTCCCGCCACGGGTCACGACCCCTGCAAGAAAAGCAGACCTCGTGGGGAAAGAAAACCGCTTACGTTTGTCAGGAGCGGCAGTTCATTTTTCATCCTATTTCCGAAGTCCTGTGGTTTACTTGTAAACAGCGTTATTGTAGAGGAAAACGTATCTACACACAGCCGTGCAGGTTTGTGAAATAGGACGAAGTTCAGTCTCGTTCCATTGTCGGTTTGGATCTGGAAACCAGACTTAATCTCTTTCCCTTCCCCGGATCTGGTGTATAAGGGCACACAAATCACTTTGACTTGGGCATTTCGTGATCAGTCTTTGTGTTCATTCAGTCCCGTTTTAAAATAAAGCTTTTATAGTCCCAGGACTTACCCCCCCCAACATTTTGCAGTGGCTCTCAGCCATTCTGGTGTTTGAGAGTCCAGTAAACCTACAGAGTATGAACCTTCTCAACAGTGTTTTAAAAAAATTGCATATATTCACATTGGTAGAACCTAGTTTTAAAGGGTACACAGGAGTAATTTATCATGTTTGGATTGGAAAAGTACTTAATTTTACCAAGATCAGATACCTGAGAGAGAGGCTTAGCAACTGCATCCCGAGTCTGGTGAAGGGCCTGTGTAGCTAACGTGGGAGCCCAGCATCCACAGCAGCAAGTCTAGCAAGTAGACCTTAGTCGTGACAGCATATGGGGACCAGAGTTCATATTTCAGAGTAATTTATCAAATGTTACCCTTTCCGATGGGTGGGTGGGGGAGATATTGCTAGTATGTTTTCAGTGATTTGTATGTTATCTCTGTTATTGACTTAGTTGTAAGATAAAACTAGTTGGGCTTGTTTATTTTCTAGAAGCTTTTATAAGAGTACTTAAGAACTTGTCAGGGAGAATAATTCTATGATAGTGCATCCCATACTACAGAAGAATCGCGTGTGCATACCTATATATATATATATATAGATAGATAGATAGATTGATAGGTAGATAGATAATATCCCCATGTAGCTAGCTCTTTGATACTTGTAATTTAAAATTTTAACTCCAAAATATAAAATAATATAAAAACTTTTCTGGTTTACAAAATGTAAAATCTTACACAAAACCAATGGAATCCTTGATTTCCTACCTCAGTGTCCACTCAACTGTCATATCAGTTTGTGTATGTGCAAATGTCACATAAACTTTTGCTTTAACTGCTACTGTAAATAACTGCTTTGAAAGGTTACTTAATATTTTATGATACATCCTAGTTGTCTCTGATTTTTAAGACACTTGGTTTAGATTTCTCTCTACATATAAATAGTTTAGCATTAAGGGTTTATTTTGATGATATTCTGATTATTGGCCAAGTGTGATATTTTGTAAAATACAGCATTACTTTTAATAGCCAGCATGTAATACAAGTAACTACACTACCTCATACCTACATGATTTTCAAATTGTAATACAGAGGGACAGAGAGATAAAGGATTTTATCTTTGTTTTTCAGCCATAAGGTAGGGAAATTTTCTATATATTGCATAGCATTACACATTTATGCCTATTTTAACATTAACTTCTAAAGAAGTTTTTTTCTAAGAAAGTTTGTTATGATTTTTTTTTTTTTTTTTTTTTTTTTTTTTTTTTTTTTTTTTTTTGGCTGCCGAAGACAAGTGACAGGATTATGTATATACAGTGTATATCTTTTCCTTCATGCAGAATTCTGGAAAGGTTTTTTTCAGTTTGTATATTGCATATTTACATGATCATTGTTCCTTATTTTATGAATTGGCCTTCTCAATGATTGGTGATTTTTAAAAAACTGTTATGTCTAACTCCATAAAAATATTACCTTAAAATTGTTTTCGTTGTTTGAATGCTACAACTATAGCAAATAATTTGTTGTTAAATTATTACATTCAAAACAAATATGGTTATAAATTAAACCTTGGTTCTCCATCTGTAAATTTTATAACCTAACGTAGCTTAATGCTCAACCAATTTTAAATAAGGAATTAAATATATTTGTTGCAGTAGACGATACAGGTTGCATGTGGACACTTTGCCACATTAACAACTTGCGGAAAAAAGTCAAACAAATAAATGGCAATGCTATATTGAATTCTCAGGTCAACTTTTTTCAGTTTTGAAACATCTATTTTGAATCTGTAAATATTTTAAGTGTTTTATTAGGCATGTAATAAACTATTCTTTGAAATCTATTGGGCAGATTGAAAATACAAAGCCATAATGGTAAAAGATGGCATACTGATGGTGAAATAAACAGAAATAATAACATCTATTGATTTTTTTTGTATCTTTCATAACATAATTTTCTAATAATGCAATAAAACCACTAAATTTATATATCCTGATCCTGTTAAGATTATGTTTCATTAAAAGGCAACTTTCATAGTATTTAATTTACATTCTTTCTAATGTGCTTATCCAAATGTAGCAAAACCATAAATGTTAGATATTGGTGATAAATTGGCAGATAAATAAAATTATTTAAAATTGCTTCTAACTGAATAGAGTTGTACACTCCATATCCGTTTTCTCACCTCTCATGTGAATTTACTAATTTTAGTCTTTTGATCAAAATCAGTATGACTTATGAGAAAATCTCTCCTATTTTATCATGCCTGAAGAAAAATATTCCCATCACTCAGATGGTTAAGGAGGCACAGATTTTAGCCTTGCTACTGTTTTACTTAATCTCAGTCTTTGGATAGAGGTGTAGGGCTTTTTTTTGTAAATTTTTATTTTACGTTTTTATTTTATTTTTTTTTGAGAGACACAGAGTGCGAGCAGGGGAGGGGCAAAGCGAGGGGAGACAGAATCCGAAGCAGGCTCCAGGCTCTGAGCTGTCAGCACAGAGCCCCACGCAGGGCTTGAACTCATGAGCCTTGAGATCATGACCTGAGCCGAAGCCGGATGCTCAACCGACTGAGCCACGCAGGCGCCCCATGTAGGGCTTTTTATGTTTTCAAGACTTATCTACTGAGTCATGTCTACCAGATTCCATCCAACTTCCAACCAGACCTTGTAATCAAGCTTTGAGCAGCTGCTCAGAGCTACCGGCGATCCAGAGCATGGTCTGGACCATGTGAGAAAGAAACAGGTGGTAGGTGAAGTCCACACTGCCGATGGAGGCCGGGTTGTGGGACACAGCTTTATAGCTGCTTTGCCCAGTGAATTTACTACAAGCGAACTCTGAAGTGAGGCAGACTTGGCAATTTTTAGGCCTGAGAAAGCTACCTCTGAGGGATGGCTTCTTACTTACACGGACTTAAACTATCCAGCGCCAACTGTAGACAAGACAAGTGCACCCGAGGCTGGCCCCGCCACCATTTCCTCCCTGGGCCCCAATGCAGAATGGCATCTGGGGCAACGCATGTAGTGCCCGTGACGTTGGCCAGGCACTACTGGTGAAGAGCTGGAACCTGGCTAGCATTCTGTAGCGCATTGGGATCTAGCTGCCTTGAAAGAGCTGGAAAGCAGCACGTACTATTCTTCCCAGGTATGCCTGCAAGCTCTGTGAAGAGTCCTTTCCCCTGGAAATGCCCAGTGGTGCCCGGAGGTTGCCCACTGGGCTGAGGGCCTGCTGCTGGTGTTAGGGCATCCACAGGCCTGCTGCGGGCAACTTCATTTAATTTATGCCACCTTGCTGCCGCTTTCTCGTGCTCCTTGTGGTCCACCAAAGGGGTCCTTCTTGGGGATGTTCCTGCCAGTTGAATTTAAGTTCACAGGTGGTAGATTCTAGAAAGTGGGCACTGACAGACAGGCATTGGGGGGACACTGATACAAGGATTCTCTCCATCTGCTATGCTTATCTCAGATATCACTGAGTGTGGACTACAGCCTTTGGGCATGCTGGGTACTGTGTCCTGGGAATAGAACTTTGAGATATCTGCTCCAATGGCTGGAGATTGGCTGGCTTTCAAAACAGGTGGCGCAAATGCGGTGATGGTCTTGTGTGTCTCATTATTAACTGAGTCATCAGAGTTAATAGACTCTTGGCATCGGGCCAGTACAACTTCTGAGTCCCTGAAGGAATGACACTGTCTGTGAGGAGTGACCCACGCCTCTGCTGAGGTTTTCATGCCTTTTCCTTAAGGGC